CGACTTTTAGGCTCTGTACAACACAGGCCTGTAAATGACTTGGCTAAGCCCAGAAGGAATAGCCCGACATCCTGACCATCTGCAAAGACTGGGGGAGCGTTTTAGTTCTTTAATTTTAATTTTTGGTTCCAGATATTTAAGAAAATCTCTGTTAATCACTAGCCAACCATTAAGCTAATGGAACAAAGGCTTCTGTAGGCACACAAGACTAAGAATATGATCTTTATAAAAACAGTTTAGAAAATCACTAAAGAGATATACAACTATAATCCACAACAAGCAACAATAACTAACTCTGGAGAAGGAGGAGAATCTGATTTCCAGAGATACCACATTATAATACTCTAGCTATCCAATTTTTTACAATGAAAAATATTACTGGGCATGCAAAAGAAATAAGAGAATACAGCTCATTCATAGAAAAACAGAAATTAATAGAAACTTTCCCTGAAGAAGCCCAGACATCGGACTTACTAGATAAGACTTTTATTATTATTATTATTATTTTACAGAAAGAGTCTTGCTCTGTGGAGTGTAATGGCATGATGACAAGTCACTGCAGCATCGAACTCAGGGGCTCAAGTGATCCTCTGGCCTTAGCCTCCTGAGTAGCTGGGGCTATAGGAATATGCCAGCATACTCAGCTAATTTTTAAATTTTTTTATAGAGACAGGGTCTCACTATGTTGCCCAGGCTGGTCTCAAAGTGATCCTCCGGCCTCAGCTTCCCAAAGTGCTGGGATTATAGGTGGGAACCACTGTGCCCAGCCTAGACAATTCCACATCCACTGTTTTTCCTAAGTGACCTGGTCCCTGTCTACCACTTTTACCACACCACGTATCAGCCTATGCTTTGCTCACCATTGCCAGTCACAGCTTGGTTCTTCAGACCATCACGCTTGTTTCTGCCTTTGGCCTTCACAAGGCTGTGCACTCCCTCTGGAATGCTCTTCTCCCATTTCATTGCACAGCTCACTCCACATATTCTGGTCTCCTGATACTCTATCTCCTCACAGGCACCTTTCCTGACTACTTTTTCTGAGACAGCCACACTTATCCCAACTCACTACAATTTCTGTTCCCTTCCCTTGTTCACTGTATCACTCTCTGAAGTACTTTCCATTATTTACCTGTTTATTTGTTATATGTCTCTCTTACTAGAAAGTAAGCTCCTTGGCGGCAGGTATTTTTTTTGTGTTGCATACTGTGGATCAACCATCTAAAAGAGCGAGCCACAGCAGGGCAAAGAAATGAATAAAGACAATTTATAGATGTTGCACGAAGAAGGAAACCATAAAAAGCTTATCAAATTTCTGTGAGAAATCTTCCTCAGCTCAGAAACTTTGCTGACCAGCTGTCTAAAGAGCCTACTAGAGAAAGACTGTCTACTGATGATGCCCCAAAGGAAGAGGGAGAGCAGAATGCCCGCTGCCACCATGGCCTGGCATTTCCACCCTAGGGAAGGTGATCGTACATGTGTGGGGGGAGTTTGAGAAAACTGCTGCCCCCATAAGAACTGATCTGGGCAGAGACCAAGTGAGCTGTGGGCAAATCTCTCCAGTGATTCCCCCAAGACCAAGAAAGCCAGGCCAAGTTTGGTGGTAGTACTGGTTGAGGTATCTTTGAGATTTTAAAGTAATATTATCTTTGCCAAGCTTCAAAACAGGGAAGGTGATATAAAAATGTTGCTTCGTAATGCCTTGGGGGAAAGTAAAGGGTCAGCAGACTGACCAGACTTTGTCCTCCTTGCTTTTGCAACTTCAGAATCACTGTCCAGAGAAAAAGAGTCCTCCTTAATTCTGGTAAGTTCTAAAACAAACTGAGTGCTGAAATGATTCTATAGAATTAAGTTTATCAACAGCTCATCTCATTAAGGATTAAACTATTATTTTTCTGGATGAAAATCTTTCTAGAATCTGTTATATACATCTTTTACTTTCTCAATATATTAACTACTTATCTTTCTTCTAGAAGATACTCTAATGAGCACAGTACCGTTTTCTGAGGCAGCAGGACACATGGGTAAGAATCCTGCTTCTGAAGCCAGACGGCTTGGGTTCAGAGCTGGGCTTTGCCTCTGACTAGCTGGGCAGGTTAACAATTTGTGCCTCAGTTTCTTTATCTTTAAATCTTAGTACCTACCTCGTAGGGTTCCTGTAAGGACTCATCAGTTAACACAGGTAATGTGGTTAACACACTGCCTGATACATAAGACTGCTCAGACTGTTAAGTTGCTGCTGCTACAACTACTGTTTATTATGAAAACAACATTTTTAGTGTCTTAAGCTCATTTTAAAGATCTTAAATTATAATATGCTAATTATACCTTTTTAAAGGAATATAGTGATTGGCTTTTACATAAAATGTTCCCAGAATGATTCACTGGAACGCTCTTATACGCTATTTTATAGCTTTTATAATTTCCCTGCGAAGTCTCTGGTTTTTACTTATCATGGTTATTGGCAATTTTTCCTATCTGTATCAGCCTCTTTCTGTTCTTCTATTTTTGTAGGGGGGGGATAAAAAAAGAATAAAGTGAATTTTTAGACATATGTGTTAAGAGAAAATATGTTCTAAACTACGTTGAAAAAACTATCCTGTGAATACAGAGAAGGCGCTTGAATCCACGGGGAGCTCTTTTGGCTATTCAGAGGAATTTTATTTTTTTCTTACTTCCTATTTCTCAGATAAATATAAAAAATTGTCCAAAAAATTAGGTTTCTGGGGAAGACAAATGTAACAGTGGTTCTAATTAGGAAGCTTCTAATGGTAAAATTAGGAAGCTTCTAATTTAGTTCAAGTAAACACTCTAAACACTCATTACACTCCTAGTACATGCTACACATGTATACTGGGGGAATGAAAATGATTATATGGTCCCGAACCTCAAGAAGGCTGAAATTTAGAGAAGATAAAAATATCAAGATAATCTACTTAGAGATGCCAAAGTTTTTCACACTAGGTCTTACAGTAGTCGAGAGCAGTGATTTTTAACCAATGTGCTGTGGCACACTGGTGTGCTGTGAGATCTTAGGCATGCTATGAATATTTTTAAAGATCATTAATTGAATTATTCTGAAAAGAAGTTCAAAGCACAATAAGTATATTCTCTTTTTGTACTCTTTTTGATCCACATACTTGAAGAGTACCATGGAAGTTTAATATCAGTTCAAGTGTGCCATGAGATAAAAAAAGGTTGAAAAAACACTGCTCTAGAGGAAGAGCCTTACATTCAGGGAAAACAGCCTAAACTGAACCTTGAGGACATTCAGGTGAAGACAGGTTGGATGGGTTACTGTAGGCACAGGAGCAGGTGAGGCAATGAGAGGCAGGAAGCAGCAGAGTGCTCTTGTGAGAGACCGTAGCTGTGTGTGAAGAATAAACAGTTTGATACGACTGAGATAGAAAAAGATGACGGGAAAGAGTGAGCAATGAAGCCCAGAAGCAGACTATACAGGGTCAGGCTCCAGAGCTCCTCACGTGCCATGCTGAGAAGCTTGAATATTACTTGTTAAGAGATGGTGAGCCATTAAGAAAACATTGAGTAAAATGGCAATTTTCAGATTTTCATTTTAAATGTATAACTCAGCAGGGTAAAAGGCAGAGCAAAACTAGACAAGACTGGGGGAAGAGAGACCAGACGGAGGGTAGTTAATAAGCTAAAGACAGTAAGGCCTGAAAGAGGGCCAGGCGGCAGTGATGGTGAAAAAGAGAGGTTCCCAGATGCACTTGGAAGACGCCATTGGAAGACCCTGGAGACTTATTAGATAAGCTGGGTGCAAGACCTGGAGAAACATAGGATGACTATCACGTTTAAGGCCTTGAATTACTGGGTAGATGATAATACGATTAACTGACCGAGTTGGAGTTGCTGCATCTTAAATTTAGTTTTGCTTCATTTTTCTTTTCTTTTGGGGGTAGGCACAGGAAGATAAAATAGTAAGTTCAGGTTGGGATGTTTGAAATAATTATGGGAAAAGTCAGATATACATTTTATAGAGTAATTAACAAACCAATGAAATCATGAAAGTAGACGGAAGCCCCTAGCAAAAAGTGTGAAAAAACAAGAGCAGCAGAACACAGGTAAGACGCTTAATGAGAGACAGGGGCAGACGGCCTGGAAAAGAGACTGAGTCACAAGTGGAGAGGCACAGGGAGACAGTGGTACCTGAGAGCCAAAGCCAAGTGTGAGTTTCAGACAGCGATCGATCCTGTTTAACACACTCAACATTTTCACGTTTTCTGTGGATTCACTATATGTCAGGCACTGTGCTGTATCACATACCGTACCTCATTCAACTTATTATCCACATGCTACAGATGATGAATCTGAAGTTCGGAGAAGTCATGTAACTTACCCCAGGTCACAGGGTGAGCTGACAGAACTGGGATCTGAACCCAGGTCTGCTGCATTACAAAGCCCACGTTCTTAACTCTGCTGGAGTAAAAGAACTTCTTCAGGATGCAACTTAGTATTATGATAATAAGGACTGCTACATATTGCTTTTCCAAGAAGCATATATTAAAAAACTATCCAATAAATCTCAAAGGAATATTTAAGGTATAACGAAGTCATTATATATTTGATCACTTTATATCATCGAAATCTTTTTATTTCATAAATACCTTAATGCTCAAAGTATGAGAACAATAAAATGCAGCACAAGGCAATCCCCTCCATGACTAGAGCACTGCTCCAATAAAGCCAAAAAGAAGGTTCTAGTCGGAGTAGTTAATGTCCTCAAGTGGCCTAAACTTAAGACACCCAAGCCTACCCAGCTTTCTCACAAATTTACTTATAGTCCCAAGAAGAACCAGAGAGGGTATGTATAGTTTAGGATAAAACCAGCACAGAAGTCGGGAAATTCATTGAAGTATACGTTCTATGGAAGTTTACTCTAGATAAGTGATTATGAGTTTAAAGATAGAGAGTCACATTCCTGTTATAAAAGTTGTAATTTTCCTATTTCCCACTAGAGGAAGCAATAGCATCACTCTTACCATTTGGTGGGTAAAAGACAGCATATTCTTCCAGTCCTAGTTTTCCTATAACAGAAAAGCAGACAGTTTTTATGATTAAGTAAAATAAATTCTTTAAAAACTAATTTATTCTGTGAACTAAGAATTAGTATAACTTTCAAAACCACTATAAACCAATCTTATTTCATTTCACAATATGAAATTAATTTGAAAATTTACTATCTAATCTTTTGATATTAGCCAACCTTTTCACCAATTAAAGTGAACAATATACACTTAAGGAGTTTATAGGAAGGACGGAAGTTATAGTTTATAGTTAAAGGAAGTGGTACAAAATATTCAGTAGAATAAATGCTACTGAGCTCCTTAAGTACTTAAGAGAAATACCTGTTTATAATCACAGAATCATTTTGCTAATATAAATAATTCTAATACATTCACTAAAGCAAGTTCCAAGCCTTCACATGCGCATTGGTTTACATTTTTATAGACTGTGCTGATAAGTTGAAAATTAAATGTCTTTAACTACATGACAGTCATATGTTATGAATCCCAAATATAATCTGAGGTGGGGCTAAATATTTGAAATCTGTTTTATCCCAGAAAAGTAAAGTATATGTAGTGTAATCAAATGCTTAACAGCATTTTAAAAAGTAGCTTTCCAGGAGGGAGGGGAGAATAGGGAGGGAGATTACCATGCTCTCACCTGGTGGGCACAAGGTAAGGGTAAGTGGCATACCTCCTGGGATCAGGACGTAACTGACCTGACCTAATAAGCACAAACACTGTAACCTAATTGTTTGTACCCTCACATTAATCTGAAAATTTAAAAAAGTGCCTTTCCCTCAGAACTTTTAAGGTCTTAGTTTTTCCCCCCATTTTCCCCTGAATATCTTTAGATAGTTTTTATCTAGACAGTTATTAGAATACCTGTGAGTCTCTAGATAAGTCTCATGCCTTCTTGAACTGGGCTTTAAAAATAACATCTTTAATTAAATATATATATTGCATATATATATGTATTATATGTGTGTATGTGTATTTCCATATATATACTGCCATTTATATGTTCTTGTTGGGGGTGGTGACAGAGAGGACATGAAGAATGAGAATGAGCAGTTCAGGTTAGGGTACCAACAATAAGCACTGATCTTGTGAGGAGAGAGTGGAATAATAGAACATGATAGATTGATTAAAATTGAGTACTGGACTAGGTGCTGAGGGATGAACAGAATAAATATAAGATCTAGTCCCTCAACCATGTGGCTCATAGTTCAGACAAAATCATGAAATATTTACATTTACTAACTTTTCTAGCTCAGGTATGTTTACTAACCTTTCTAGCTCAGGCTTTACGTTTTTGAGACACTGTCTTAAAGAAAAAAAGAAAGAAAGAAAGAAATTCAGAGGATAGGAGGAAAATTAATGGTAGCTGACAGCTTGGTGAACAAGGGGAAGAACAGGTTAGTTCTTCAAGGAACTAAGGGACTATATGGAGGCTGAAATGATTATGGAGTCTGTGGAATAATCAGGAAAGCAATGTTACTTAGGTTAAGACAGGAGCAACTGATTGAGGGCCTTCAAACCCTGGCTGAGTTTAGAAGTGATCCCCATTAGATACTAAGTTCCACAATCAGTTTTCAGGAGATGATGTTAAAGAAACAAACAAAAGATTCTCATAAATTCAATTTAGAAGCAATGCAACTTAAAGTTGGGAAGAGCCTGACTCCACGCAGGTTATGTGGCCTGTCCTAGGGCAGGGGTTGGAGCAATCAGGCAGATAGGTCAGACATATAGGAAATATAGGATCTTTCTTCATGGAAACGGCAGAAGCAGCATACAGAATGCAGTCTGAGCTTTCAGCGCGGGGTATTCACATAATAAAAAAGAGAAGGTGGGTAGAGCTTTCACTTAAAGTTAGTTCCGTTTTCAGGTGATGGCAGCGTATTGAAATAGTCACATCTTATAGGCAGCTAGTGAAACACAGAAAAAAACACTAAAATAGAAACAGAGCTAACAGCATATATCAAAAATTTAAGGGTGTGGAACAGTTTGAGATAAAAAATATAGAAAAGTAATAAAAAAAAGTAGAAAAGAAAATCCAAGTGGCAAAGTCATAGTTTAAAGAAAAGTCAACAG